AAAAAATTATATATATCGTGGCAAACTTAATATTCTCTGTTCAAAATATGAAAATATGTAACTGGAACGGATCCGAATTTGTATCCGGCCAAGCATTCCTTCAAATTTAAAAAAGAGGGCACAATAGACCATAGGTCGCGGTGCATACCTCAATATTAATCTATTCCTTCAAATTACTTCAGAGATGTTTTCCGCCAACACAATAACAACTTTTTTAAAATATTGTTTCCAAATATCTTATCAGATTCCGAAGCAACAGCTACATCTGCGTGCTAGTGTTTATAACAATAATAAATAATATTCATGCATACATACTTACATGTGTTCTGATTTAGCACAAACAAATTTTCAATATGCCAATTGCAAATGTCTACACCTATTCACTTAACATAATTAACATAAAAATGTACTTGCAATGTTTGCTTTACTAACGACATACATACCATACATACATCCGTGTATGTATACAGGTAATTATCATAGTGCAAATTGGGTTTTGTAGCACGATTGTCTCTCTAGAAAAAAGCATAGAGAATATAAAGATATAGATACTTGAAAAAATATGTTAGCTGGTTCAAGTGTGTCTATAAACAGCGGCAAGAAATGACACCAAAGTGAAATGAAGCGCAAAACCGGTTAACGTTGCGCCCTTCAAACGACAGGTTAAGCTGGTATTGAAGTCACGAGACGTTTTACCTTTGTACTTCACAGCTTCAGAAGCGTTAAAGTCAACGGTGCGCAGAAAGAGTTAACATGTGGGTGCATTGACCGGTTCGCTTGTTAATATGCCAAAATTTGACTTTCGAATGCTGCCTGAATATATTGAATTTATATTATTGATTAACAATTTTATGTGATTTAAAGTGAGCTGACGCGAAGACCAACTTTCTAGTTTCCCCCCATACAAAAAAGAAACTGTATTGTTTGTATGTTTTAAAATTTAATTATGCTGATGAATCATAAAATGTTAGTACAATGTAATAAATGCAATTTTTCGTTTCTGCAATTAGGCATTAGTTAATGCGAAATTTCTTTTGTGAATTTTAAAGTGTTTGGAAACATTCAAAAGTTTATTGTATATTAATTATTTAAACTTTTAACTTTTCTTTTCTTTTCATTTGTTTATAACACTAATAAAATTGCTTTTCATTTCTTAATAGTATATATATAGGTATATATATATATATATATCCAACTTTCGCAATATGCAAATGTTAACATTAATCTCGCCAACTACTTTCACGCGCCTTCAACTAACTCAGTACTTGTCATCTCCGCATTGTACTACATGCATGTTTTTGTGTGTGTTTATTTGTATTAGCTGCGCAAGGCATTTAATCGGTAGCATCAGTCTTTGCCACGGAGAATGGCTCATCCACGCTTATGGAACCGCAATTGGCGATCACCACATCCTTAACTGGACGATCGCGTCCATCAGTTTCGTAGCTCTCGATTTTGCGCACAACACTCATGCCAGATAAAACTTTGCCGAAAACGACGTGACGTCCATCCAACCAGGATGTTGGTTTGGTGGTAATGAAGAACTGTGAACCATTGGTGTCTTTGCCAGCATTGGCCATGCTCAACCAACCAGCACCATAATGCTTCAGCTTGAAGTTCTCATCGGGGAAACGTTCACCGTAGATGGAACGACCGCCAGTGCCATCACCTTTGGTGAAATCACCACCTTGGATCATGAAGTCCTTAATGACGCGATGGAATTTGCTGCCCTTGTAACTGCAAGCAGTGAATAAAAGAAAGAAATGAAATTAAGTACGTGGTACAATGTAGTTTATTATTTTCACAAAAGTTGTTATGTATATATGTATGTAAGCAGGCAAGTCGTAAACAACAGTAATATCTATCTGTGCATTTGCAGGTATATGTGGTATGTTTATATGTGCAGCTCTCATATGCAGTTGCTGTATGATTCGATTATGTTGCCCTCTTTATTCTTACTTACACTATTTACTACAATAATAGAGCAATAAAATTGTAGAATTCTCATGTTTGTAGTTTGTATTACAATATTACACTAGCTGCTAGTGCCCAGCTGACCCAATGGCCGGGTAATATTGCTTGGCGCTTTTTTATATTTTTAGTACAATAGTGTTTATTGTGCACAGCGTATCCACATTAATTCAATTCAATGCTCAATTATTGTTTGCAAACATCAATTGCTTGCCACATATGCATGTGTATTAAGTATATGTCTATGAGCACATCATATTCGCATTGCTAAGCCAATTAGCTGAGTATGTAACAACGCACAAGTTCTACACACTACTACTAACTTTAAATTGTTTAAAGTGAGTAAATTTATTTTCTTATTTGCGTATAGTGGGAGTAATAGTTGCTTGACCCCATTACAAGAAAATGCTCTGGCACGTCTCGATGGAAACGATGATAAACTGCATTACAGGCTTGGATTTGCTGTTGTCGTAGTAGTAAAAAAAAAATAAAATAAAAATAAAATAAAATAAAAAAAAAAAAATTAAAAATAAAAAACCGAAGCTAAAATACCCTTTACAAATACAAGACATTTCTGTATAATACTTTATTTATATCGGCCAATTGGTGTGGTATCTACATATACATATACATATATGCTATAGCGGCCTGATTTAAACAAAAATTATTTGGAGATTGTAGTGCTGCTTTGGGTGATAATCTCCGCTAAATTGCGTAAAAATATCTTGTCAAATAAAGAAGTTTTCCATACAAGGATTTTATTTTGATTGGTCAGTTAGTATAGCAGCTATATGTTTTAGTGATCCAATATCGGTGGTTCCTACATTTGAGCAGATTTTTGAAGAGAAAAGATCGTGTACAAAATTTCAAATGAATGTCTGAAAAACTGAGAGACTAACGGCGTATATTCAAACAGGCGAAGATGACTTAATCGACAGAGCTCGAAATGCAAATTATTTATATTGTATATATATTATATTTTATACGGTCTCCGACCTTCTTATAGGTGTTATAAACTTCGTGACAAATATAATATACCCTGTTAACGGGTATTGAAGAGATATCTTGTTTTTTTCAGCACCATCAGCTATCAAAGATATGTGTCATGTGAAATATGGCTGAGCCCTTTTACTAATTTAATATAACTGTTTTATAAATTTTTATGCATAAATATACACAGAATAATTTTTACGCTATATAAGTATATGCAATGAACCTTTTATGAAAGAATATATAATATAAATTTTTATTGTACATATAAAACAACCAAAGCACTGATGACATGGTATAGCACTGTTCTTTTAATAGGTAACTGATAAGCGATTGATATGTTTTCAATAATTAATAATAATAATTTTTATTTTTGTACAATTTAAACGTGAACAGACCGAATCTAAATAGATTTATCACAGCAGCTTTGCATATACTCATTCGTACATATAATACATATGTACAAGAAGGTTTGCGAATTCTAAATGACAAGATAAAATATCGAAAGTCACTAAGAATTATACCATGTTACACTAACATAAACTTTTTGACAAGTGCAAGAATTTTCCAGATTTTTTTAAATATTCATACATGTACGTATGTACATATATATGGTCAAATGACTTGAAATAGTTGTTGTAAGTGTAATTAGATTCACTAAAATATTGTTGTTTGCACAGTCAGCAGAACTTACGACAACTTTATACTTTTTTATCTCTATATTAAATAAGCGGTTGGGAACATAACCTCACTAAAAGTAATAAGACCATGAAATGGACTGCAATCATCCCCTTACGAAGCAATTGCTTGTAGGTTTTAGCAAAATAATATGCCTATGCAATAGAGGGCTAAAATTGTTTATGCACTCCTGTATGCTTATATGTGAACATTTGCTGCAAAGCACTTACCCTTCGCCTTCTGGTTTCTCAGCCAACTCTTTGAAATTACGAGCGGTTTTCTCCACTGTTTTACCGAAAAGACCGATCTCAATGCGTCCAGCAGGTTCACCACCAATGGTGATATCGAAGAAAACCTAAACAATCAAATTGAATATATAAGTAAGCATGTGTGTATATATGTTTAACATGTACAATTATATTTGTACAACAAAGAACCCGGTTAACCGAACGGAACAATGGAAATACGGGAGGAAGTAAACTAAAAATTACGTGGAGATGAACGAAAGTTGAATGTGTGCCAAACGAGGCAAAAAATTATGTTCAAACAATATTTAAAAAAAAAAGTGTATGCATTGTACATGCATACATATGTATGTATATTAGATGCACAAAGAACGCATCGTTTAGCAACACGGGGGCGTTTATTATTCAAGAATAAATTAAATGCTTACCTTATCGGTTACTTTGGGTCCCTTACTTTCATCAGCCACCACAATGCCGGCCGCAAGCGCCACCAGACATAATCCCAAATACAGCTTCATCTTACGGTTTCCGGTAAGCAAAAACACAGTTTGTAGATTTTCACAGATTTTATTTTCTTTCACTTGTATCCAAAAACACCTCCGATGTCGTCAGCAGTTGGCGATTAAATGAACAGGCAGCTGTTGTCAATAGCCACCACTACCGCTACCATACACTTTGTTGCTGCTGCCCTTGCTACTTGAATGTGGAATTTTTGGGAGAAGAGATGCACATACACACAAATCTGTGTCATAAAGCGCAATAAAACAATTGGTCTCAGAGATTCTTTCTTTCTTCGTGCTCGTGGAATAGGGAAACGACACGTCGCCAGGCGTGTTAAGAAAATGATGCAAAGTAGAATCGCAAAGAATTGATAAACAATAATTTTGATGTTCTTGCTAGCATATTATTCGGTAGTGTTGTTGTTTTTGATTATTAGCGATGTGTTTCTTATTGTCTGTTTGTTTAAAAAGGTGATTCTTTTATGACTTTGTTATAACATAATAAAAATGTGGTAAATAAATAAATATGTTAATATTTAAATTATATATTAAGCACTTGAAAGAATATTGCTAACAATGCATGTGTCTAAAACCCAAAATTAACAAAATTATCTTTGTGCAAGCTTTTCTGTAATAATCAACGTGGAAACACCTGATAATGTATTGTCTTCGTCATATTCTGATTAATCGATTTATAAGGTATCATATCTAAGTGACAGTTAACCGCGCTAAATTATCAAGTTTCGTTGTATATCTCAACTTCCTCTGTTTTTTCAAATTGTAGTATATTAATACTGTTTTTTCTTTTTTTATAAAGTGAATACTAATTTATCCAAAGTTAGAAACCTTTTATGTTGTGATTATATTAGTGGAACTATGGTAAAAATGCAAGTGTTTTTGATAAATGTGGGTTACATATTTAAGTGATGGTTATTCGTGCCAAATTATAAAGCTTCTTCGTGTTTATCTTCCTGTGTTATTTTAACTTCCCGCAATATTTCAAATATTAATGAGAAAAAGTTGTTTATTTTTTGTAAGTGAATAGATATAGGAAAATATGTGAAAAATATGTTTAGTGATTATGTTGGTGTTAAAGCTTAACTGTGATTAAAACCGAAAGTGTTGTGAATTAACTTTAACGGACTTGGCAGTAAGCCTTCCCACCTTATCATTAAAATATTGACGAATATCAAACAGATGTCTTTGGGTATGTATAGAATAACTATTATTTGTACATAAATATTATTTGTAAGGTAATATGCAAAATCATATTGGCAAAGTCGGAGACCCTATATCCGTCCGTTCCCACGACAGTCGGGTCTACGTAACCGGAACGGACCCGGATTTATTCCGGCCATGGACTGTCAACTCGGCAGAATTCTGTCGCTACAACAACAACAACAGCCATATATCCGTCTGTTATATACGCGAAGTAGTTCCTCAGTTTCATTTGTCAGAACCATTATAGCATATAGCTGCCATAAAAGCTGACCGATCAAAATAAAAAGTTCTTGATACGTTAACGAAGTAACACTTTTTCTTGTTTTACTTCATTCCAAATAAAAAAGCGCTATTTAATATAAAAATCCATCCGTAAAAACGACTGTTGTAACTAATATAACGAAGATTTATTTTTTCTTATACATAGTGACTGAATTGCGCATTTATGCTCTTTCAACAAGAACCATAAAAGTAATTAGCTCCAATTACCATAGCTCCGATCACTCACAGAGGAAAACAAATTCAAATTGGAATATGTTAATATAATTAGTTTCCTATAAATATATAGAATTTGAAAGCGTAACTAACCGGACTTAACCCTAACACATAAAACACTCAGCTCATTTATTACTTAACATTTTATTTTATTACTGGTTATATATATATGTATTATTGTTGTTAATGTTAAATATACTTTACATGTAAACTTTTGTAAATTTTTTACATACGTTAACAAGCTACGGCTATACACAGTATAAATACAGTTAAAAATTGTATACTTATTATATCTACACAATGAGATTACTAAGGATGAACTTATTGGAATTTTATTTAACTATGTTTTAAATGTTGAAAATTATAAAAGAAATTAAAATGCAATATTTATTCATAACAAGTATATATATTTGTATTTAAAAAAATACTTGAGTATAGCGAATTTGCAACTGTTACGTTTTCGGTAATATCACAATTAGTAATAAAGGTTTATTTACAGAACGGAAGCAAATTTTTTTCCATTTACATATTATTTGAACGCAAAAGAATATAAAATAACTAGTTGTTCTAATTTTAGTCACTACATTTTAGGGATATTAATTTTTTGTGCGATTCATTTTTCATTTTTCTCTATTAATAAAAATTCAAATCAAACTCGAAAATACAGCCATAGTTTTGATGAATTGCGTAGTGAGCTATTTAGAATTAAAAGCGTTTTCAGAAAACGTCTTTTTCTGCTTCAGAAAAGTAAGAGCTTCTCTCTCTATATTGTTCATATACATATTCACTTATTTATAATATGAGCATAATTAATGGAAGATAGTTCAGTCATTGCTGCCAATTAGCGATTCCTGCTGCTCCTCATCGTTAATCCTATACGGAAAAGTTTGATTAATGTTTTATATATATATAAATCTAAATATACTACCAACCTGACTATATTTGGTTTACGACAGCGACATAATTTCCTATAAATCACTTTAAATAGCCTCATTAAAGGATCTGAGTCGTCATTGCGCATTAACAGTGCCACCAATATTAGCGCCAAAAATATTGGTATTGAACCCATATAAAACATAGGCGAGTATGGTTTTCGTTTCAAAACGACATCAAATACTATGGAGAGTGGTATTTGTAGCGACATGGTAATGGTGCCAATTAATGAAGAAGTAAGGAAGCAGCCCCTGTGATAAAACAAATAGAAACAAGTTGTCGGTATATTATAAAAATACGGGAGAGTCACAAATACCATAACCAAAGCGCTTCTGAGATCACAGTACCAACTAAACCATTTAAAAATAGTATTGCAACTTGATTTTGATTTGGCAGCTCAAATTGCTCAATTTTTAGAAAATGCAATATGAAGAATATTGGCCACATGAGTAGAAGATTCCAAAGCCCAACAAAACCTTTTAATATAAAATATAATTTAGTATGTTTGTATATAAGTATATGCATTTTCTTTAAATTCACCAAAAAAGAGTGGAATGTCAACTTTTTCCTCAGTGTCGCTTTTTCGCTTAACAAAAACTAAATAAGCAGCATAGAAGAAAGCACTAAAAAGTGCTAAGAGTGCGCCGCGCGAAAATCTGGCGTCATGTATGTCGGAAATGGTGACGGTAACCTATATAAAGATATTTTGCTAAAGAAAAAACTTTATTTATTGATATGACTATATACTTACAATTCCACCCATATTCATTGCGACTGCAATAATTTTGGTTACTGTAAACTTGTCACCCACTGCAGAGGGGAAGAACGCCGCTAACACAAGTGTAAATAAAGTGGATGAAGAGCTCAATAAAGTGACCATGGCGGTTTCGCCCAACTCTAGAGAGAGTTGGAAAAAATAGTTTGCGACAAACCACTGAAATTGATGTAAGAGGGAATAAGTTAAGTTTAGATGTTAAAATAAAAAATTTTAAATACAATTTACCAGCACACAGAATAGTAATGCTGTTTTGGCGGTCTTGTGATGTGATTTTTGTCTGTGTATGCGTATGCTTGCTGCATAGGAGAGACGCGCCATTAACGCCTCCGTTGCCTCGTGTGCGGACATCTCACGCACCTCAGCCAATTTGCTGAAACGCACACTGCGTATGCTGGAATCATCGCTCTCGGTGCCGGAGATGGCACCACTCGAACGAATCGGGATAAATGTGGGGTCACTCTGAAAAAGAGCAAACATTTTTTTTTTTTATTATTGCAAGTAAACAATTGTGCATTATATGTGTGCATACCAGTGATGGATTGGTTGCGTAATAGTTCTCGTCATCAGCTACTTGATCCATAACCTATAAATACATTTTTTTATTAGTGAAATTCGGATTGGCATATTTTTTAAATATTTTTCGTTGTAGTACTTGTGTATCTAAATTTAAAACTGTGAAATAATTACGAGGAATGCTGTCCCGCTGGCAGTACTTATATAAAGACATATTTTTTTTTATAAATTAAATTCTGATTGGAAATTTTATAAACAATACAATATTGAAATTGTCAATTTTAGGTATGCTGTCTCGGTGGCAAGTCTTGATCTGTTATAAATTGGTGATATTTCAAGCTAAGTAGTCCTTACTCTTTTGAAATCAAATTGTGGTTCTCGTTTTATGTGTTGAGTCCCCTGTAGTGTTTAATAAAGGACAATATGTATAAAAACTCACCGAGTAGCTACCATTTTGACGTTCACAAGATTCACGCCAGGGTGTTACCAGTCCGATTACAACCAAATAGATTGCAAACATTGAAGTTTTAAAGTATGTGCAAAAGAATGGTTTATCGAATTTTTCATTTTCGTAGAGAAACTGAAAGCAGATAACGAGACGTTGTAAAGCAAAACAGTTGTATTTTCAATTATGCATTTTAGTTTATATTTACCTTTGTAAGTTCACTAGAGGATACCCAAATCACATCGACCAGCAACAATATTACGATGCCAAGTATGAGCTTTTGTGTTTTGCTTAACATTTTTCTGTTTACACGGCAGACGTCGGTGACGGTACGGCGTCGTTTAGCCGGCGCGTAACGAGTGACGACACGCTCGTTCAACTTTTGACCCAAATTTGTCTGCACTCTCAGTCTCCTGTGTGCGCCGTCTACGCTTTAGACGATGGTAACAGATGGTAGAATATCCGTACACTTTTGTTTACTTTGGACTGTATTTTTATAGTTTTAGCGCGTACTAAATTTTTTTTTTTACTGTTTTTATTATTCTATGTTTCGAGTAATTGGATTTCTTTCAAATTCCTGCCTAATTTAAGTTTTTCTTCTTCTTTTTTTTTTGTGGTTAACCAGTTACATTTAAATGCCAGTGTTTTAGCTTCATTTTTGAATTTGGCTCGTGGCGTTTCTTTTTCATTGCATGCAGCTTTTACTTCAACACTTAGTCGTTTGCTTTAATTCATTTACATAATTAAAGCTGTTCTGTTGGCGCCAAATGCTGCGCCGCAACACATTGTAAATTAAGTTTATTAGCGGGCAATTGCAAAAGCGAAGTGGACTAAAGAATAGAACGAGGAGAAGGACATTAGTGTAAATTGAATTTTTTAAATTGAAAAACTAAGCGTAAAATTTATAGCTGTTGTTCTTGGGATCGTATCGTTGACATGCATACAAACTTACGTTTGAATTTTATTACAATATATTAATTGTATACCTGTAATATTCACTGTAATATACTTTATGTATCTACTATAAAATATTTGACCTGTGCATTCAATTGCCAAGGGCAGTAAATATTTAATATGAGTTTGATATACAAATGACGTGTTCAGCAGCAAAAAAATTTTTATTTACACATTTGTATGTATGTATGTATGTTTCTGTGTACCAAGTATCCATTGAGACCTAAATTAGCATGTTCGAGTGCATTTTTATATTGATTTTCGCTCATTTTTTTACACTCCTACAAATAAACTGGTTCGCTCGTATAAAATGTGAGACACAAATATACAATGATGCCGGAGTGAGAAGATAGCATAATCATCTTCTGTGCTTGTTTGTTGTAGCTTGGGTGCATATTTGGAACAATATCATATTTTTCGCACGCGACAATAGCTGCTTAAGTTATAATTTATCAAAAAATTCAAATATATCATCATTTTTATTTTTACTTTGACTTTCAAGTATTTTTTTAATAAGCTACTTGGCATTAGGTTATCTCTTTTGATTAATAATAACAATTAAGTACTTAATATAAGTGGCACTATTACTATATTTCAAATAAAAATTATATCAAATATTATGTGCTTGAATATGGTATCTGCTGACAATTGTTTTTTTTGTTGTTACAATGGCACGGTATAACTACTAAAAAAAAAACTTGAAAAGTTTGAAGCATACTCAATAGAGTTGATATATTTAAGCTATTTCTTTCTAATTATTCTATAGCATATAGCTGTCATATAAACTGAACGATCACAATCAAGTTCTTGTATGGAAAACTTTTTTATTTGATAAGATATCTTCATGAAATTCAGCGTAGATTATTGC